AGTTACATGAACTTCCCGATATGTGTAAATAATCGACTTAATCAATAAAAAATAAATTAATTTATGAGTGATTAAGGAGGTTGCTCGTTTTTTTTACAAAAATGCAAAGTATTTTCTAGAAATGTATTTATCATAGAAACATGCGATTTTTTTCAAACAAAAATTACAAAATCATGGAATATTACGAAATTTTCTTTTTAATTTCCTGAAGGAGAAGTTTATGTTTTCATCAAAAAATCCGATTCGCTAATTTTATGTTTTCTCGACGTTTCAAGCCATTCTGAATCGAATGAGACTAAATTTGGAAAAAGTATGTGTGTGTGTGTGAACAGATTTTTTGCCGTAAATCGACGTTTTTTCGAAAACGGCTGGACCGATTTTAAAAATTTAAAAGCCATTCGATGTATCTTGACGAGGACTATCGTTTGTCAGTTTTTTGGGACGATCGTCCGACACATTTCTTTATAAATAGCAGAAAAGTGAAAAAATTTTCGTCCACTTTTTAGCCCGCAACTCTGAATCGATTTTGAAAATTCAAAAACCGTTCGAAAGATATTGGTTGGGAATCGTGCTAATTAGTTTTTGGTAGAGATCGGCCGGGCTGTTTTCTTGTAATAAAGTGTTAAATTTTTTTTTATCGATTTTGTTTATTATTTTTTTGACGGTAGATGCTACAGTCTGCTAACCGTAGTTTCCGTAGGACTTTAACGCTTTAGTATGTTCATTAAGACCAAGTGCTCTATCGTTATACCAAGTAAACTATTAATTTTATTTTTAACTAACGTCAAAAAAAAACTACCCATTTTCTCAAACTTTGATGAGTTTTTAAAATTAAACTACTTGTCGTAAAGCGGTAACATTTCAGTAAGTTCTATAAGACCATGACAAGTATCGCTAAAAAGTTCCATAAAAATCGGCTTAAATTTTTTTTTCAACAGTTAATTACAAGAAAACGGCTCGGTAGATTTTCACCTAAAACTAATCAGTATCATTCCCAACTAATATCTTTCAAACAGTTTTTGATTTTTTAAAATCTATTCGGTAGTTTAATGTTAAATGTGGGCCAAAAGTTTAACACTTTTTTTCAAATTACAAAGAAACTGCTCGGCATATCGTTTCACAAAACTGACAAACTATAGTCCTCATCGAGTTACAACAAATGGCTTGTTAAATTTCTGAAATCGGTTCAGGCGTTTTGAGAAACGTCGATCAAAGATCTAATTCCCATAAATGCCAAAAAACGATACTAATTTTTGCAAACTTTGAAGAATTTTCAAAATTAAAAGGCTTGTCGTGGGGCGGTAATATTTTAGTATGATCTACAAGACTGTGGTATCTACCGTCAAAAAAAATCATAAAAATCGTCGAAATATTTCTTTAAAAAACTTTATTACAAGAAAACGACCCGGCCGATCTCTGCCAAAAACTAATCAGCACGATTCCCAACCAATATCTTTCGAACAGTTTTTGATTTTTTAATCTATTCTGTAGTTTGATGTTAAATGTGGACCAAAAGTTTAACACTTTTTTCAAATTACAAAAAACGGCTCGGCATATCGGTTCACAAAACTACAAACTATAGTCCTCATCGAGATACATCGATCGGCTTTTAAATTTTTGAAATAGGTCCATCCGTTTGGGAGAAAACGTCGATTTACGGCAAAAAAATCTGTTCACATACACACACATACTTTTCCAAATTTTGTCTCATTCGATTCAGAATGCCTTGAAACGTCGAGAAAACATAAAATTAGCGAGTCGGATTTTTTGATAAAAACAAACTTCTCCTTCGGGATGTTAAAAATAACATTTAATCAATCGAGAGAGTACGCGATTGTCGTCGGCAATGTTCGCTCAGACATGTGACGTCACAGTTCCTTAACATATGAGGACTAGCAGTCCATGTACTGTAATGTTTATGATTTTACTAAATAGTTATTTGTTGGTTACTTACCAATTTTGGCAGCCACTTCTCCCTCACTACTTTGTTCCGACAAAGCAGCCAAAGGCGAATTCATTTGACTCCTGCTCGGTTCCAAATTCAAATTAACATCCAATGGAATGTTCGATCTCCCTGAAGACATTTGTTTGCTATGTGCCGAAATAGATCTATTTGTTGTCATTTTCGACACAGGTGCAGATCTATGCTTCAAAACCTGATGTTCGTTAATACTTTGCAAAGAGTTCTTCATGTTCATCTTCTTCTTGGTGCCTAATTGTTTCTGGTAATACGGTGAGTAGTAACTGGTTCTCGTAGTCATTGCTGATTTAGTGCTCTTAGGTTGCGATTTGTGACTGTCTACACGTTTTAATTTAATGCAATCGAAAGTTGGTACGTGCAATTCAGTTTTGGCATAGTTGTCTACATTTTGAAACAAACGTTGACAATCGCTATGCAGTTCATCCTGGTCCATGATACCTAGTTTGATACAACATTTGGTAACTTTTAAAAAATTCTTTGCTAAATCTCTTAATCTATCAGGTACCCGTTCTTCCAAAGATGTTGGTACATGTTTCAAATAAGCTTGAAGACCACGAAGAACCAGCTGGTGTGCGCTTAAGACTTTCTGACTAACATTTTTATCCAGAACTTGATACTTCTTACTGGAAATCTTATCGAACTTTGTTATATGTCTCTGCAGTTCGTATAAATAATTCCTGGAGAATCTTGAATAAAATTCCAGGTCGCGTTTACGTAATTTCAATTGTTCTTCTGGGCTGTTCGGTTCTAAGATGGTACGAGGAAGATTAACTTCTTGGAGGAGTAAACCGATTTTGGAACGTACAGATTTTAATTTGTTCTTGAATAAAGGATCTTCAAACGTTAAAAACTGAGGATTGGAATCACAACTTATGGAACTGGATTTGGATGTTAATGGAACATCAAATTTGTGTGCGGACAGACAGTCATCGGAATTATAAAGCTTTTCGTTAGAAATGTATTCGTTACAATTTGTGTTGGTTTTATTTAAATTTGTTGTTTCTGGGAAAGTTTTGTTTACTGTTGAAGATTCTAAACTTGTTTTTTTAACATCCTGATCAGTGTTGACTGTTTGCGTTGAATCTATGGCCATTGCATAAGTACTAACTGCATTTTCAGTTTTTTCCAAAGCAATTTGCAAAATTTTTGTACAAACCTCTTGCAAATCCAGCTTGTCATCGTTATGTACACCTGTAACACTATTTAAATCTTTTCTTGCACAAAAATCTTCGTGGGCAATTCTAACCTCATCACTATGTAACTCCTTTTTCTTGTAACTTCATCACTATATAATTCTTCTTTGTGACTTCATCCTCAACATTATATAACTGTGTTTTATCTCTGTTACTATTTAATTCCTTTTCCCTACAAATTCTTTCCAACGTTCCTCTTCCAACTTTCTAAACGTTTACGTCGAACTTTTTTAATAGCCTGCGCCAAATCGTCTTTCGATAAATATTGAAAATTGTAATCGTCCACAAATATATCGTTTTCGTACAAAGCGTACATGTTTTATTAATTTAAATTAAACAAAATAAATAAATAGGGTTAAAACTAAATAAAAATTATCTGTCAAACGCTCAAGAAAATGGACGCGGGTAAATATGTTTTGGTTTGACGCATTGCCATGACAACGAGAGAATTAAAACAGCCGGATAGATAGAAATATTATAAAAACTTACCCTTTGAAGAGCACAATACATTTTTAAATGTATTTTTTGACTGGAATAATTCAAAAAAACTTGGCTTTGTAACATTGCAGACATATTACACCATGCACATTATCACATTTATGGTTATTTATCTATGCACATTATTTTTACATAAATTCTTTACAGCGCACTTCATTATGTTTCTCTACATCTTTGACAGTCCGCGAGTACCGCCAAATTCGAATTTAAATTTTCGAATTTCGAAATTAACGAAAAATATTATAAATGGTATATAAATATATGTATCCATTTAACACATATTGAATTACGTTTCGATACATCGTAATTTGTATGGAAATTGAGTATATAAATGTATATTGTATATATTGATTTATACATCCCTAGATGTGTCCTAGTCTTTGTGATTTGTATGTAAATTGGATATATAAATGTATATATTGATTTATACATCATTATATATGGTCTAATATTTGTGATTTGTATGTAAACTGAATGTATAAATGTATATATTGATTTATACATCATTATATATAGTCTAGTGTCTGTGGTTTGTACGTATATTAGATATATAAATGTATATATTGATTTATGCATCATTATATATGGTCTAGTATTTGTGGTTTGTATGTAAATTGGATATATAAATGTATATATTGATTTATACATCATTATATATGGCCTAGTGCACGTGGTTTGTATGCAAATTGGATATATAAATGTTATATTGATTTATACATCATTATATATGGTCTAGTATTTGTGATTTGTATGTAAACTGAATGTATAAATGTATGTATTGATTTATACATAATTATATATGGCCTAGCCTTTGTGATTTGTATGTAAATTGGATATATAAATGTATATATTGATTTATGCATCATTATATATGGTCTAGTATTTGTGATTTGTATGAAAATTGGATATATAAATGTATATATTGATTTATATTTCATTATATATAGTCTAGTCTTTGTGGTTTGCATGTAAATTTGATATATAAATGTATATATTGATTTATACATCATTATATATGGTCTAGTATTTGTGGTTTGTATGTAAATTAGATATATAAATGTATATATTGATTTATACATCATTATATATGGCCTAGTGCACGTGGTTTGTATGTAAATTGGATATATAAATGCATATATTGATTTATACATCACTAGATGTGTCCTATTCTTTGTATTAAGTATGGAAATCAAATATATAAATGTATATATTGATTTATACACCTCTAAATGTGTTCCAGAGCCTTCATAGTTTGTATGCAAATTGGATATATTAATCAATTATCAATTTATAAGTACCTATGAATATTAACAATATAAATTACAAACCTCTCGACATTCGTCAACATCTCTGCAATGATGTCCGTCTTGAGACAAAACATAACCGGTTGCACATTCACACCTGAAAGATCCTATTGTATTGCGACAACGTCCATTTCTGCACAAAGACGGCATTGCATGACATTCGTCAATATCTGGGAAAGGTATTGAGTATAATTTAAATTCAATTAATTGACTGTTAATAGTACTGTCAACCTACCAACACAATCGTTGTTCGAGCTGATCTTGAATCCTGGATAGCATTCACATCTATAGCTACCCACGGAGTTAATGCAAGTGCCATTATTGCAAACATTGTTGTGTCGGACACATTCGTTGATGTCAATGCAGGTTTCCCTATTAGCGGTTAATGTGAATCCGTAATTGCAGATGCATTGGAAGCTTCCTTGTAAGTTTTTGCACTCTCCATTCTGGCAGACATCGTAGTGCATGTCATGACACTCGTTTATGTCCACACAATCAAATTGCCTAGAAAAGGAGAAAAGACACGTTTATGCTTATAACAAGTATACAAAAAGTACCTTTCTAGTCACTTACGATGATCCAAATTTGTATCCTTCAGGACATTGGCATTCAAAGCTTCCAGGATGGTTTACACAGATAGCGTTTCCTTGACAAGGACTATCAACACGTTGACACTCATTATCATCCGTGCACTGGTGAGACAATTCATCATAATAATATCTGTGAACAAATATCATCATTAGTACGAGATCACATAATCGAGTCAAAGATTTAATTACCCTCTTGGACATTCGCATTCAAAACTTCCAGGAGTATCGATACACTTTCCATTCTTGCACATAGTCGGCATCATTGCACATTCGTTAATGTTTTCAGTCTTGTTGCTAATCTGGTTCATTATCATACCTGGAGTTTTTCCGCATAACTCTATGAACTCACCTAAAAGCACAGGGCCATGTTATAAATCAGTTAGATTATTAACTTCCCGTAGGGTAGTTATAGTAATGGGCCGAAAATCTAAAATAAAAATTATTGCATCTTTCGACGTTTTGAAGGTTTCTGGACATTTTTAAGGGGCATACATCAGAAAAAATGGATGTATGTGTGTGTGGATACAAATTTTCGTCCACGTTTTGGGGCGCACGGATCAACCGATTTGAATGGTTTACATTCGATCCCTATTGATAGGGAGATGTGCTTATCAGTTTTTGGCAAAGGCAAGTCCAGCCTTCATGGAGATACGGAGCAAAGAGTGCAAAAAATACAAATCGAGTTTTTGAGAGAACGGAGTATCGGATTTGAATGATCTAAAAAACATTCAATTTGTAATGATTGGGAGAAGAGAAGATCAGTTTTTGGCAAAGACAGGTCCCGCCATTTCGAAGATACAGAGCTAAATGTGCATAAAATGGCAGTTTTTGAGTGAACTAAGCGTCCAATTTGAATGATCTAAAAAACTTTCTGCTTGTATTGACAAAACAATTGATTTTGAGGATAAAAAATTATTACATCTTTTTTTATTCTCCATAAAATATTTCTGTAATTTTGGATTAAAAACTCAAAAAATTACCCCGGCTAAGCACAGTCTAAGCGCCACTCTAGTACAAATGTTTACCCAAGTGCGTTTAGACTGTTTATGTATTCCAATTTTGTGAAAACTATTGAAAAATGTGAAAATGCCGTCAAGATGAGCGCAGTATAAGTGAAAATGTCGCACAGAATTATTTGCAAATGCGTTTAGACTGTGACTATACGGGAGCTCTTTTTCAATTTTGTGCAAATTAGCCATCTATTTTTTTTTTTAAATAGAATTGGAAATGAAATGACGATTGTTAATGTTCTGGAGATAAATTGATTTATGATTTACATTTGATTTGCTCAGATATAACAAGATAGCAAAAATAATGAAAGTTACAGTATTTGTAATAATGTATTTGAAAATGATTAAAATTTCTTGAATACTTCGGTACGGAAAGTTCTAGCAACTTGTCTTAAGCCACGACGCCATACACCACTAGTTTATTCATTATTAACTTCCCGTAGGGAAAGTCATAGTAATCGCAAAAAATCGAAAATGAAAATTTTTATATATCTTTACGTTTCAAAGGTTTCTGAACATTTTGGCATACCTTAGAAAAAATTGATGTATGTGGTGTGTGTGTGTGTGTGTTCGGATACAAATTTTCGTCGACGATTTCGGAAACACCGATCAACCGATTTAAATAATTCAAAAAACATTCAATTCATATTGATGAGGAAACGTGCTGATTAGTTTTTGGCAGAGGCAGGTCTAGCCGTTCCGAAGATACGGGGCAAAAAGTGCTAAAAACGGTAACTCAGTTTTTAAGAGAACGGAGCGTCCGATTTTAATAATTCAAAAAACATTTTACTTGTATTAACAAGATAAACAACTGATCAAATTTTAATAAAGGCTGGTCTAGCGGTTTCGGAGATCTAGTAAAAAAAGTAAAAAAAATGCCATTTAACGGTCAAAAATGATCATTAGACATATGCACATCAAATCATCAGATATTTTATAGAGATTTTAACAATAAGTATAAATTTTGTTTACATTCCTATGAGTTCCGTACCAATGTTTATCCGTTAGACGGCGACGCGGCGCTTACGCGCTTCCATATTTCGTCTTTATGCAGTTAAAGCAGTACGATTGCTTTGAAAAAAAGTTTAAAATTTCCAAAATATTTCTAAATAAATTTTTCTTCAGTCTTTTTTTTTTCAAAAAAAGTAAATCTTTGTCAAAAATTTATAGTTTCTCAAAAATCTAATTTTTTCGAAGTCAAGTTTTTTCAAAAATGTTAATCGTTTTTAAAAAAATAATAATATTTGGTATGGAAAGTTCCAGCAATTTGCCTAAAGGCACGATGCCATGTGCCCCACTAGTTTGCAAATGCGTTTAGACTGTGACTATACGGGAGCATTTTTTCTATTTTGTGTAAATTAGGCGACTATTTTTTTTTTGAAATTGAATTCGAAATGAAACGACGATAGATGTTCTGGAGATAAACTGATTTATGCTTTACATTTGATTTGCTCAGATATAACAGGATAGCAAAAATGATGAAAGTTACAGAGTATTTGATGTAATAGTATATTTGGAAACGTTTAAAATTTCTCGAATATTTCATTACGGTACGGGAAGTTCCAGCAATTTGCCTTAAGGCACGATGCCATATACCACTAGTTTATTTATTATTTATTACCTGATCCCTTTTGTGGACATGGATCACAATTGATGCCCCAGGCTTCGCCCATCGAGCAACAGCAAACTTTTTTGGTCTCTGGTCTGGTCATCGGAGAGGTGCATTCACCATCATCGTAATGCATGTAACATTGTTCACGTCTGGTATCCATACACTCTTCTGCAAAATATAATAAAAACATTAAAATCCACACCACACTATACCATTATCTTTTTTGAAGTAAAACTTCTTTAGGCGCGACTAGGGTGTAAATCCGTACAAATGCAACGAAAGTGCGTTACGGCAGATAAGATAAGATAAGAGTCGAGTGCCAATGATTCGTCATTCGCTCTCGATGATATCATTTCTATACGGGTCGATTGTGATTAGTCGTCTTGTCGAGTGAATAGAGATCTGTCGTTGTATGCGTACCGGTATCAACAAGGAAATCGGCATAGACAAATAAACATTTTAATAAAGTTATATCGTAATACAAATCTTGATTTAACGAAAAATGCCTGAGGCAGAAGTATATTTTACCCTGTTCCATGAGAATAATAAAACAAATTAAACATTTGTGCCGTGTACTAAACGTAAGTTTATTGATTAGAAATTATTTCTATATTATTCGTAGCTTCTATAAATCTTTCAAGTTATTAAAATGGAAAATATTTTTCAAGCAAGACAGATATTACAGATGTTCATAGAATGATATTATATCGCCAGCGAAAAAGTAAAAAAAAAGTACAAGCAGTCAATGAATGTATGTTAATTTTAATAACATCAAGTTCTTCTTTGAACACAATTATTACATGATGAGTGAAGTTGCGAAAACAATATTTGTTTGAGCGTTGTTTACCATAATCCACTTTGTAAACGAATATTATAGAATTTATCTATAAGCAATTACTTCATTCCTCTAATAAAGGTTCATTTTTTAATGCTAATTACAATGACAAACCGATCATGTCGTATTTGAAGTATGACTTTAATTACATTATTGTGTTTAAATATTATACATATCTTTAATGCTATTATAAATATATAATTCATTTATAATTTATTATTATATAAATGTGTATAATGGTCGACATTAATAAATGTGTGCATCACGAGTGTTACCATATTACTAATAAACATTATTCAAAATTGTTATATGATGTATTTATTTTTACTTAAGTGTTATCTTGTACAGAAGCAAATAAGTGTTACTTCAATCGCGTGTGAACTTTACGCGCACTCTTTTTTTAACTTCCCGTAGGGCAAGTTATAGTAATCGCAAAAAATCGAAAATGAAATTTTTTGCATTTCTCGACGTTTCAAAGGTTTCTGAATATTTTGGCATACCTTAGAAAAAATGGATGTATGTGCGTGTATGTATGTGTGTTCGGATACAAATTTTCCAATTTTGTGAAAACAACTATTGAAAAATGTGAAAATTCCGCCAAGCTAAGCACAGTATAAGCGAAAATGTCGCACAGAATTATTTGCAAATGCGTTTAGACTGTGACTATACGGGAACACTTTTTCAATTTTGTGTAAATTAGGCAACTATTTTTTTTTTTTTGAAATTGAATTCGAAATGAAATGACAATTGTTAATGTAATAATTGATTTATGATTTACATTCGATTTGCTCATATATAACAAACAAGATAGCAAAAATAATGAAAGTTACAGAGTATTTGTAATAATATATTTGAGAACGTTTAAAATTTCTCGAATATTTGACATTACGGTACGGGAAGTTCCAGCAATTTGCCTTATTGCACGATGCCATACACCACTAGTTATTACTTACTTCCATTCCTGATGGCCATATATCCTTCAGGGCATCTGCAATGGTAAGATCCCTCATCGTCTACACAGAAACCAACTCCGCAAAGATTGTGATCTTCGGAGCATTCGTTAATATTTACGCATTGGGAATTGTGGTCATCTCGCCTATATCCTTCTTTGCAGGAACACATGAAAGAGCCGAAGGTGTTGGTGCATTGCCCGTTCTTGCAAATATCTTCGTGTTCCTCGCATTCGTTTATGTCTTCTAAGACGACTGTTACTGGGTTCGGTTTGTAGCCGGGGCCGCTTGGACAGAGGGCTTCGTAATCGGGAGTACCTGGGAAAGAGTAAATATATATATATATATATATATATATATATTAGATATATATATATATATATCTTATATATAAAAATGGAGCTCTCGATCAAATGATTCGGCAAAACTCGAAAACGTCTAAACCGATTTGGCCAGTCTTAGTCTTGAAAAATTCGTGCTATCAGTAGGTTGTCGGAAACGTGAGATATTATTTCAAATCGCAAGAACGAAGAAGAAGAGAAACTTTACATTTTTAATTTAAAATTTTTTGTAGAAGCGTAATTTAAATAAAACAATGGACGGTGGCTAATACGTCAAATGTCAAATGTTTTCGACAGATGATGTTCAATTACGTTTAATAGGATGGTCTACGTGAATATTATTTAATTATGATTAAATTGTATTAATTAGTTTCGTAGTTATATTTATATACAAAAACGTTATTAAACGGGTCGCAAGTGTTACTAGAAACTCCAAATATCAACTTTTTTGGAATGTTAATATGAAAATGCACTTTTTGGCATATTTTTCTCAAACACGGTGCTCTGAAAGATCTCATTTGTATAATTATATACTCATTGGTATTTATAAAACATTCTCTAGAACATATCTTTTTTATTTATGTTATTTAAATTCAGAACCTAAATTTGGTATCGATCAAAGGGACATTTTGTCGAATAACATTTTCCCAGTTATAATTTCCCAGAATTTATCGAAGAATAGATAGTAATATGTGAAAGTCCGGGGGGTTAAAAAGGTCCACCACCGATGTGTCAAAAACCAGTAAAGTTAAGCATTGTTTAACAACAATATTTGAAAGTAGAGGGAAAAAGATGTATAACCAGCTATAATCTCGATTTGAAGACTTTGCTATCGGGAGATAAACGGTATAATCTTTGAAAATCCATAATAAAAGTATTTTCTTCCGTTGGTAGATTTTTAGCATTAGTTAAAAATGTAATAATTTTGTAAAATTAAAATAAGACATTAAACCAGTTTGCCACCTGGCCGTCTATGGAGTAAAAAGGTCTAGATAACAAATTTTTGAAAGACATAAAAAGCACATTTCTATAGTGATAAAGTAGATGGCAGTTTACTGAACGTAGTCAGATAATTGTTCGTTTGATATGTGTTATTTGTTGTGATATAATTGTTATGGTTTTCATAATATAGTTTATATTTGCTCAAAGTCAAATTGGACCTTTGTGCCTTGCTCTGCATTTACATATATACTTTTTATTAAATTTACTTTAATTCATCGAATGTTAGTTGAAACTTTTCAAAAAGCAGGTCAAAGAAGAGATACCTAATTCATGTTCTATCTCTCCTTGCAGAGAAATTTGAAATTTTCTATAAGCTCAGTAGTATTATTACAATAATATACACAAAATCCAGAATCCAAAAAACAATCTGAAAAACTTGAAACGTAATCAATAAGTCAAAAAGACCAAAAAAGACTTAGATTGGATTATACCATGTTTTCTATGGCAAGTGTATAAAACTTCTAGACAAAATATAGACAAACTAATGGGGTTTATTGTTTTTATAATACCTCATTGTATAAAGCATTCAAACAACACATCCTTATATATACACTTAAAGTATTAACATTTTTGGTTCTCTAGAAATTGTTTAGAATATGCCTTACATAGCAAAACAACGTTTGCCGGGTCAGCTAGTATATATATATATATATATATATATATATATACTAGATGATCCGACAGAAGAATTTTATATATATACTTAAGATATGTACCTGGATGCGGACACTGTTCGCAATAGTTGCCCCATGCTCTTCCAACGGAACAACAGCAGGAAGCCTTGGTTACATCCTGAGACATGATGTCGCTACATTTATCCAAAGCAGGAACATAATTCAAGTAGCAAGCTGAGGTCCGACGATCTAAGAAAAAAAAACATATTCAAATTTGATTAAGGTAAATGTACACTATGCCGGGATAGTACATTATTACGGGAGTTTCTCATTTTGATCGCAAAATAAGAAAACGGTCAATAAATAATTAATTTTATTCGATAGCACATCAATTATAATTTTAATCCTAATAAAATAGTACGATTTTGGAATTTAAATATTACTTTTTAAAGCCGTAAAAAGCTTTTGAAAGCATCGGTCGTAACCCGATTGCCATTTCGTACTTGCTTGTTAGCGATTTAGGTTATGTGACGGTTCCATTGCTTAAGGTTTTTATTCGATTCCGATAAGCTTAATCGATTCAAATGTGTGAAATTTTAGATCAGTACTAATAAGAGATTAGTTTTATAGTTAAATAGAGCATACATTTGTCAATAAATTGTCAATTTCACGACTCCGGCAATTAGGTTCACACAACTGAACCAGTGAACGTAATTCCGTGAGTATCCTACAATTACGAGAAGTAGACTTGAAATAGTTTTATCTTTTATTTTCAACTGTTCTTAAATTCGGCGGTGTTTCTGG